TGATGTTGTTGGGTTGATGCCCTGGCATTGGGCCGCATGCCACCGAGCCTTTTCTGCAACAATGTGTTTGTCTGTTTTGTTTTTGGAGTATTAGAAAAGTGTATTTATGGTTCATGTGTCTTCAATTCAGTTTTATTTATACAGCATCAATTCACAGCAACAGTCACAGAAAGGTGCTTTATACTGTGATGCAAAGAGCCTAAAATTATGTGGAGAAAACCGCTGTGATCAACCATCTGGAGACAGTGGGAAGGAAGAACGCACTTTTAAAGAGGAAGAAACCTCTGGCAGAATCTGGCTCAGTTAGGGCCATCTGCCACATCCTGTGTGTCAGTGTGCAAATGTGAATCTGAACTTTCAATTTTAAGATTAATTGCAGTTGGCAGCGAGTCTGTGTGTACGTCTGTGTGTGTATTTGTGTGTGTGCAGTTACGACCAGCATCTCACCCAGCAGCTCATACAGCAGGTTGAGAATGTCTTTCCAGGCCGCTCCAGCCTCCGAGCCCGCGCACTCCCCAAAATGTGCGGCGCTGTTATAGACGTTCAGTCGGTCGATACAGTTGGACACCAGAGTCAGCATGCCCTAAAAAAGAGGCAGTGACACATGTCACATGACTGGTATAAGAGCTTCCTCTGATGAAATCTGCCCCCAGTTTTCAGTTAGTGCAATGCAGCTTCATGATGGTCTTGTACTGGTTTATTCTACAGACTTGAAATACCTGAGATCTGATATGCTAAATGGAAAGTGTTCCAGTTATTGTGACAAGCTGACCTTCGGGATTAGAATTAAGATAGAAATGTGCTCCTTTAGTCCCCCATAGAAAGGTACATAAGATTAAAAAATCCTTAAAAGATATGTAACTTGCAAAAATCAATACTCTATGTGTCGATAATCCTCAGATATATTGCAATCAAGTCTCTTATTTTATGGTCTCTCGACGACATTTTGACACAGTTATGCTGTTGTATCCTGTAAGATTTAACCTGCTTTTCAGTGGGTGACATCATAGGGCCCCTCAGCGAGGCAGTTGACATTTTATAATTGATGAAAGCAATTTAGAGCCTAGAAGCTTAGCAGAAAGCTCAGTGCGCTCATGCCAGCCTCAGGAAAACTGCTGACACCGTCATATAAAGTGCGTCCGAATACACGATGCCATTGAAACAAACCACAAAGAATCAATTGGTTTCGCTTTTTCACCTCCTTCTGCAAGTTTGCCACTACTGCTAGCTTAATCACACGTGCACTCATTCACTAAAAGTGTCCCAATTGCAACCACGTTGAGATTCTTTTGCTCTGCCTGACTGCCTCGCGAGCTCTTTTTACTAAACCTTCCTTGATGGATGAACTCACTTCCTGCTTGAAGAGGTTCTGTCTGTTTTTGAGCGAGCGCAGCTTGATCTGCCTTTCTTCGTGCTCCAGCTCGGCATCGGGGAGCTGGAAATAAGTGATGAGGTCATTAAGGGTTTGGAGCACCTCCTCCACGGGCAGAGCGACCAGTGCCCTGTTCTTAACACCCAGACAATCCAGGTCTCTGGGGGAAGTAGACAGAAAGAAAAAACTCAATCACACATTTAACACTACTTGCCGTTTCTCAAATTCTCTCATTCATTCGAGGAAACAAACCATTGCTAAAGATACGACGACTGGGAAGCTGAACAGACTTGAGGAGAGGCAGTGATGACTAACACGATCTTTAACCCAACGGTTCATTCATGCTGAAATGCTGATTTCCGCTAGCCTGCTAAAAATAGCTCTAGTCCTATGCATGGGAGCGGTGTGTGTGTGGTGGTGGTGATGGTGGGGGCTGACAGATTCCTGCCCCTAAGTCTGACCCAGGAGACAGCAAGCCCTCTGATAACAAATACAGGCCATGGAAGCATCCACGTATGTGCTTCATAGCTCACCACACATAGCAGTGATGCCACTGCATTTCTATTTGGAAACATGTGGCTGGTCCACTGAGTGAACTGTATGGGGCACTGGCACCACACTCAGACAAAACCCACAGGCCCCTCTGTACTTTAGTTACATCACGAGTTTTATCCCACCTATGAGTCTGTGGGCTTCAAAAATAGCCTTCAGATATAATTTGCCGATGTTGGAATGTCTTTATCATCAGGCGTAATTACGCTAAACCATCATCAACGTGGGTGCTTATGAAACTTGTCCCAGTGACAGGACATTTTGCAGATTACCCTAATAAAGTGGCGAAAGACAAATGTGGGCTGCAATTTGGTTTAATTGGCTAATTTGTGCAATCACATCCCTGTGTGCTGAAGTGAGCAACGGCACCGTTTTGTCACCGTGTAGCGTACCTGATGAATCGCTTAAAGAGAAGCGTGGTGTTGCGGATGATGCGCGCGGCGCGGGACTCCTCGTGCTGACAGCGCTGGAGGGTCAATCCGTCATCCATGTGACCTTCAGAATGCAGGCATGCCTTGAGAGGACGCCACAGGGCGAGAAAAGGGCGAGAAACATTGTCATAAGACGATATAAAGAAATGAGTAAAGAAATGAAGGAGGAGAAGGCACTGAGCCACAGTGTCTGTCCGACACTACAGGCCACCTGGCTGTGTTTACATGCCGCACGCACACCGCTTCTGCAACAGTAGCCAGGAGACGAGGTCTATATTTAGCCGAGGCAGAGATATGAGATGCAAACTAACAGAGGATCATCTTAACTCAATCAAGTCATTACTCTCGAAATAATTATCCACTCGAAGGAGTGTGATTTATTTATTAATGCTCCTTGTTTTCTGCATGTGCCTTGCATCTAAAGACAGAGCGGTGTGCGCTCGCGTATGTCGCCACTCACTCTTCTCTTGAGGGGACCCAGACGAGCAGATTTGACATCGGGCGCCTGGTACGAGAGCCAGAGACCCGCGGCCACGTGCATGATGAAGCAGATCGAGTCCCCGTATTTAATCTCAGCCACTCCCATTCCCTCGATGTCGCGCTTGGGGCTCTGCTCCAGCTTCTCCTGCACAGAAAGGAAGGAAAAGAGACCCAGATTTGCTCTTAATCAAACCACGACCAAATATTAGCTGCATCTACAACTTAAAGCTCTCCGCCCATCACAAGCAAGAAGGCTGTATTTGTTTTGCTTTTAGGATTAGACGTAAATAATGTAAATCAAGTCAGCTGCTTAACATATTCTGCAAGACATGCTTCAGATCCACATTGGAAGGGGGTCAGTAATTGGTTCAGCATCACTATTCATTTCAAGAAACTATATTGAACAGAGTAGTTAAACGGTCGCTTCAGTTAGAGTCGGCAAGTTCAGCTAAATTAACCTCAATGGTGTCGTTTTCGCTCGTCCAATCATTCTTGCAATTTTCATTGTCCTTGAAAAAGTTGTGATTTTCCAGCCCAAGGATATTTGGCAGTTCATTCGTAAAAGGTTAATAGGTGATCCTTCATAAAGCCTTCTTGCTGGTGTTTAAATGGGAAAGGGTGTGCATGTGTCCTTACCTTAGAGGCTCTGAAGCAGAAGGCCGTTGCAACGGTGTCAGACCTCTCCCGATCCTGAAGCACCAGCCCCCTGTCCTCCGTTAGAGCCAGGTAGTGACCGGTGGTCAGGTGCCGTAGCCGGAAGGGCTGACCCCAGCGGATGTGGCTCCCGCTCCAGCTGTCAACGCCACAACCGCACATTAATATTAAGCATACACAAAAATGTTCAGTTCACAAACCCAGGGAGATTTGCTAATTAGCTGATCTAAAAAAACTGCTGCCAGCTGTTAATTATCTAGTAGATATGAATTGAATCAGTTGGAAACGGATGAAAACATTTTTGTAATTATGCACCTTTTTTTTCCTTTTTAGGAAACAGGAAAGTCTAAACAAACAGCATCAGAAACATGGCAGAAATCAAAGGGGAACGGCAGCAAAGACAGAGGGAAAGAGAAAGAGGGGATAAGGCAGAGGCCAAAGTGCAGCAGTGAGGAAAGGAGAACAGATCAAATGGAAACAATGAACAAAAGACAGAAAAGAAAGGTGGAAAGGACAGCGATGAACTAAACAAAAACAAAGGAGAGAGTTACAGGAAGAAAGGCAACAGATAAAAGATCACATGAAACACAAAACCACCTGATTCGGAGTGGCTCCAGCCTCCACAAGGACCTCGCCTTGGCACCAGCTTTACCCGTCTCATAGTTGACTATCCTGAGGATGAGAGAGAAGCATGAGTGTGTGTGTGTGTGTGTGTGTGTGCGTGGGCAGATGCTTTAACTGTCTAGCTGCCACGGACACTCTCAAGGTCATTCATCCCGGCCCTCTCTCCTCTCATTTGTCACACTGATATTCACAGACAAGATGTTTGACTTTGGCACATAAGCACGCTGTTTTTACTCTGCCGACTGCGGCGTCACATCCTTCAAACACAGACGAGTCCCGATAACTACGCCGTCTCTCAGTGATATGGGTGACTAGGTCCCAAGATAAAAGAAATCGCTCATCGACCCCTTGGTGACAGTTTGGAGTGCGTTTGATCTGATCTCTAAAAAGCACGCTCCATCTGTGAAATATCAAGGAGTAAAAGCCAAAGCTAGAAATTAGAATTAAATCCAATCCTGCCCCCATATTTGCCACGCTCCGGTCTAAAAACAGAAACTGCACATCGTGTGTATCACAGAGGAAGACGCACACATCTTTTGGCACCTGGCTGAATGTGTACGGGCCCGTGTAGTGCCCGCTGTTTTGACCCACTTCGGGCCCAGTGTGCCATTATTCAGCGCTCTGCCTTATGTGAGTTGGCACCAAGCAGCTATGCTGTAGGTAAAAATAACACCGCAGCCATTTTGGCTCCCGTGGGGAGGGGGGCGGGGGTTACACTGGTCACAGAGCGTGGTGGAAACAGAGGGCTGGCAGCTCCATTAGCTTCTCATGTGCTGTGTAACTACTTTAGCTTTGCCCCTGCGATGCTGTGTTAGGCACCTCTGCTGCTCTTCACTCTGGTCTGATCCCGGGATTGTAACAACCTCGTCGTGTCCGTGGAACAGCCGCATCACGTGACCACCTAACAGGTAGCCTATTGGAGAAGGACAAAGAAAAGATTTGGCATCTCAGAGATGAAATCAGGAAAAATAGACAATCCATATCACAGAGGTTTAAGTGTTTAACTGCCATATTTAAGTGTTTTACCCATTTTTAAATACAGTTAGAAACATTAAACTCGTTGCAAATTTAGCCCCTGTCACCTGGATTTGACTGAATATGCAGAAAATTCAAATTATATGAGCTGCAAAATTCATCACAACACTGTCTTCAAGTATGTTTGTCTCTCTTTTTTACCTGAAGGTATATCAAATGATTATGTAAAGTCTCTACCTTCTTCTATGTTGCTACCAGAGCAGATGGGATGGACGTTCCACAGAGTCTGCATGAAGGAAGCATCCACCTGGATGTTGCCACTTGAGATGGATAAATGCTGCAGGAAAGAGCACATCCAGCGTTCACTTTTGTGTACAACTACAGAAATATGCAAGTGACAGCACTGTGATCTTATGAGCAATCAGCAATGTATCTACATCTTTACGAGCCACATGTTTGATTTGGCAAAACCTTCGCATCAGATGCCCTACCTGACGTGACCTCCCCCATTTATGTGAGCTTGGGATCGACACTAGGAGTGCACTGGCTTGTGACCCTGCAGCTGGGTTTGTAATGCATGATTGTATTGATTCAACTTGAAAAGGGTGATGAGTTGTCAGTTGGAGCTTGAAAGTCTATTACCACTGATGCAGAAGAAGCCTCCAATTTATCGATGAGCGCTCAGGGATACACAAACAGGTTATAATGTAGAGAATATGTGTGTGTGTGTGTGTGGTTTCCACAGTGTTTGTGCATCCAAAAAACTAATTTTGTGGCAGCTGTGTCCTGATCATCCTCCTTCCCCAGAGTCTCCTGCAGCCCCTCGGTGCTTGTGTGTCTCCACATACCACAGTGTGTGTGACAGCTGGGACAGACTACCAGATTGGCATTGCTGACTGTAAGGCGATAGTGGTCATCTGTCCGTGCCCCCAACTGCCGTGGGGCTGTAAGCACCGCCTGGCTGCTGTCACAAACTTCACGGATCATGGAGAACATGTTTCCCAGGGTTAGCGTCCGAGTCCGTGTGCTCAGTGGGCAAAGTTAGTCTAAAAGTGAAAGTTACCCGCTGCTGAAAAAGTTAGAATCACAGCTGCAGAGGAGAGGAATGTTTGGGCGTGACCAGAATGATTACGTAGGAGCTTGATTTGAAAAGGCACTGGAAGCAAAGAAATCATAATCCCCCCCAGAGATCAGACGTGATGCAGTGCAGATCAAATTTTGCTTAATGTAATTGTATGCATTTTTGCAGTCATCCTGAGGGGGAAAAAAGTTGTTGCTTTTAATGTTAAGCCTCCAGCTGGAGAGAGGTCACGGAGAGAGCTGCAGCATGTGGTAATAGGATTGCTATAATCTGAAATTTTGCCACATCAGGGGAGTAGAATTGATGCGCTCCTACCAAGACCTCTGTGTTATGATCACTCAAATGCACGCACACACACACATACACACCGGCAAACACTAGACTTACAAGGTATCGCTCTGAGGACACGCTGACGAGGATGAGGTCATCGCCGATGCGTACTTTCTCTCCCTCTGATCTCTGCTTGGAGGCTGGATGGATTGTCCACCAGCAAGCCTCACCTGCAACAGTAAGCGCACGCATACACAAACACGTTTCTTCTATATTTTTAATCAAACACCACTGCCCAAATACCCCCTGTAATTACTAATATTGTCGCAGTGGGCTGAAGATGAGGGCACATGGGTCACCGCAGCAAGATTTTCAAGTGAAATCGAGGCGACTGCTCATCTAGCGTATCACATGATGCGATTAACAAGTGCAAACAGAAGTGGGTCCAGGTATCAGCCTGCCACACGTGAGGGTGTTAAATATTCTGCACAGATGAAATCATAGCTGACAACAAGAAGCACAAAGTAAGTGTACACTGCTTCACTGCGGGAGGGGGGGTATCAACTGAGATTCTGAAAAGACAAACAGTGAAATTCACTCGCAAACAAACGAAGAGCGGGAAGAAAGATAAAGAGGGGACTTTCAGACAGCGAAGAGGAGGTTAGATAGATTTAAAGAAGCAGACGGAGGCGGAACAAAGACGGAGAGAGACAGGCGTAGCGACAATGACAAAGGGAACGGAGGAAGATAAAAGGGAACTGCACCGGAGCTTTTATTTACCTGTTGAATCCTCCTGCAGGCCGACATCAAAGGAAAGCTTATCTGTCTGTGACCTTGATGTCTTCAAACAGGCCAGGTACTGTGGTCAACACACACATCAAACCACAAAAGACAGAGCTGTCACACGCTTCCTGTATTTGACAAGGGTCATTTTTGATATACCGTATAAATCAACCCTTAGAATCTGTCGTGATTTGTTTAGCGGGGATTGTTTGAGATCTCTCACCATAGAGCTGAAGGAATGCCGCAGGAGGATGGCGTGTCCGTACAGCAGAGTCTTGTGTCCGCCACTCTGCGCTGCCTATAGAGACGATTCACAAACACATGTACACAAGCGCATAGTTACATGTCAGCTCAGTGTTCTGTCAGAACAACCCCAGTGGTCTCCCTCCAACCGCTTCAATCGAACCTCTGACACTGAATGTTGACCTCATCGACGACTAGGGTGACCTCAAGCTGGGGGCACGCATCTCCTGGGGAGGGTTTGCACCCAGTCTCTCCAATGAACACATGCAATCTGCTCCTGTATCCGTGAGTGAGCAGGATACGGGCTCATCTTTCCAGCACTCCAGCTACAGGAATGTGGGAGGATGCACACTGTAAACTACTGTCAGTCTCTGGATGCAATGTCAGTATTAGCAGACAATGACTCCATCGCCTTGGGGATTGGGTTAAGATGCAGGGGGGGGAACAATTAATATATCTATTGGGAGAAATGCAAAAGGGGGTGTTTTTTTTCTCTCTTTGGCAATCAACTCCCATGTTACTCACCTTCCTTATGAGCCTCTAGGAAGCATTAAGGTAAGAAAGAGTGTTATTATTCAGAAAAGAGCTACTGTTCTCCTGAGCCTGTCTGCTTTAGGTGGTACAAACTTAGGGCCACACACAGCTGTTACTTATTTAAAGGAATGAAGAAAAAGACGCTGACAATCTTTTTTTGTGTGTGTTTTACAGTGAAGCCACTGGAAAACACATATTTTCTACAAGCCAAGCAGGATACTAACTATACAGTATGTTTCCAGCAAAGCTGAGTTTATTCTATGCAATTTTACAAAATTGTAGTTACGTAATATCCAAGCGCTATGTGAATCATGGCTCGTTTTATAAAATCATAGTGTGGTCCTACATCTTCTTTTGCCGCGTTTCTATTTCTCTCTCTTTCCCCCTCAGTTGGCTACTGGGACAATAGCGGGCCTGTGATTTGATGCAGTTGTGTTCTGCAGACTGCAGTACTGGCTTTCAGGCTTCTTCTGTGCTGCTGGTAACTGCTCTAAGCTGGCTGAGGGGCTGAGTCTAATGCAGTGAGGCACGCAGCACTGCAATCACCACAGCGGATAAACCCCAAACTCACTTTCCTGTCCCAATGACGGGCTGTGCATGAACAGCAAGAAAAGTTATTTTCTAAATGTAGAGACACATAGCAGCAAAAACGTAATATAACTTAAGCATGTGAAAAGAGCAAAGCTGTTATAACCCCTGGATAAATGAACCATATGGGAGAAAACTTTTGAATGATGCTGTCTCCAACTATAGACCACAAACCGCCGTATCCAGTGCCAGAAATAATTATTATTTGATCCACTGCTGAAACTGCAATTTTGTTCACTTACATAGAAATGAAGTCTCAGATTTTCATGATAGAGAGCAACTACAGAAAAAATACAATACTCAAAAGTTATGAATCAGTTTCCACGTCATTTAATATTTGATCTCTTACAATCCAGCCTGCCTCCAACAGACTAGGTGTATGTCCATGTGGCACACAGATTACAATCAATTAATCAATCAATTACAGATATTCTGTTACCTTCACACCAAGCTTGGGCAGCTGTTGGTTTGGTTATTCAGAAATAGAAGAAATATAAAATAACTATCAATCGCCCTGAGTCTGGAACTCCATGCAAGATCTTGCCTCATGGGATGAGGATAATCATGAAAAAGGCGGTGTATTAGCCCTACACGGGAGGAGCTTGTTAGTGATATGAAGGCAATTGGGACCATTGGTAACACACTATAATGGATTGAAATCTGGCAGCACCTGCAACATCCCCCGCTCAAGAAGGCACACGTACAGGCTTGTCTTAAGTTATGAATTAGGAATCATTTAAGAATCTAAATGATTCAGAAAAGATTGGGAGAAAGTAATGAAGTCAGATGAAACCAAAACGATGCTCTTTGGCACTTTTTCTGCTAAGTTACAGGATGACTTCACTACACCGACAGCCAGTGGATGGGAAGATGTAGCATAATATATCAGATGAGAACCTCCTTCCTTCAGTTAACATAGGTCTTTCAGCATGACAGTGACACATCACCAAGGTAACAAAGGAGTAGCTAAAGAAGAAGACCATTATGGTTATGGAGTAGCCTAGCCAGTCTCCAGACCTCAGTCCTACAGAAAATCTGTGGAGGAAGCTGAAGCATTAAGACAAGTTACTTATTCCACTGAATGACATGCAAATCATTCTTTAATTCATAACTTTATTAAATTCATTCATTCATTCATTCACTTCCGCTTCTCCTTTTCAGGGTCGCGGGGGGCGCTGGAGCCTATCCCAGCTGTCATAGGGCGAGAGGCGGGGTCCACCCTGGACAGG